AGTACACATTTTCGACTGCTTTCATATGCGAGACGTGATGAGAGAGAGAAAGAGAGAGAAAGAGTGCATGAGAGAGAGAGAGAGAGAGAGAGAGAGTGAGAAATAAATAAAAAAAAAAATAAAAAGAGGAATGAATCGTAGTTTTCACCGATTTATGCCAAGATGTGAAAAACGGTGAAAATGAGAGAGACTTATTGCATGAATATAACATAATAATAATAATAATAATAATAATAATTAGACTTAAGTGAGATAATTACTAATGTTATTAATTGTATAGTTATAGAAAGCCGAGAAATTTTGTGTGCGTTCGAGATCATTGCCGACAATGATGTCTCAAAAAAGAAATAAAAAAGGGGGAAAAAAAACGAAAGAGGATAATGACGACAATGACAAAAAAAAAAAAAAGAGATACTAATAATTGCGACGAGACGATGAAGAAAAGTGGTAATAAAAATCATCGATTAAAATGAAAAGAAAAGAAAAAAAATAGTAATGACGTGGGGAAATGAAAAATGGGAATAAAATATGACGACGATTTATAAGAGAAGAAAAGAAGAGTGGAAACTGTGACAATTTTGACTCAAGATTTGTTGTGTCGATGATGACGATGGTAATGAAGAAAAAAAAAAAAAGAAAAAAAACACACACGATTAAAATATTGATTGTATGTAACCAACCGCGGGTGGGTATATCAAACAAAAATTGCATTTTTACAAATAAAATCTAGGTTAATTAATTATATTAGTGGTGTCTTCTCTGTGTGTGGGTATGTGCGTGCGTATGCATGTGTGTGTGTGTGTAGAAAGGAACGTTTTAAAAATTATACACGCGAATATATGCCAGATTTTTTTCTTTCTTTCTTTCTATTTTTATTTGTATTTTTTATTTATTTTACTTTTTCCAACACACGTTCAAAGAAGAAGAAAAAGAAAAAGAAGAACCTCGCACCACTGAAAGGAGAATGAGAATGAGAGAGAAAGATAAAAATAAAGAAAAATAAATACGCAAGGAATAATTAAAGTGATATCAACAAGAAAGAAAGAAAGAAATGAGAAAAGTTGTTCTCGAAATTGCGAGCTCTCTTCTTTCTTGCGCTAATTATGATTTTTTTTTTTTCATTTTTTTTTTTTTTTTCTTTAATCCAAGAAACAACACACGCCAAACACGTTCAACAATTATTTT